AATCTGATGCAAAGAGATTTACGCAGAGGCTTTCTGACTACAGTAAATGCTAAAATGATTGATGATCATTTGTTCACTCAAGAAAAGCACAGCAGACCTGTTTGGATTACTCACCAAACGAACATTCTTACCGTAAATGCAGGAATCAATCCTCGACTCAATCAACCTCTGGCTTGCGCATGGTCTAAAGAAGACTCCCATTTTTCCTAAAATTTCTACCCTATGCTCATGTTCTGAATATTATGCCCAGTGATATCTCTTTGAAGAAAGCGTACCCGTTGATAAATAAGTTTGTTTCAGTGTTCCAAAAAGTGTTGTAAAATCGTAGCTAGCTATAATGTCAAATGGTAGGCTATACGTAAGATGGCGTACCGATTAGTAGGGACAAGTTTGGCATGTACGTGCGTCACGCGAGTATGTTCTAGAATAAGGACTTGTAGCAGCCAAACAGCCGATATTTAAATCTGCCAGGCGCTGTATCAAGACTGTCTGGATAAGCCTTCAATAAATATTGTCACGAGAGTGCCAACTTGCTTAGTGTCATTGTGAAGAGGCGCTTAGAAAATAGACCGAAAAGTTTCGACGTCGACGTGTGATTTATGGTGTTAAGGCTTCAGTTTAATGCTGAGGTCGATTCGAAAGGCAAGTACTTAAAGTAGCACGTACGTCACGAAGTTCTCTACACGTCACCTTATTATCTGTTTGAAGTTAAATGCAGAGTGTGCATCGAAATGATTCCGATGGATCGTCTATACATGTACATGTAATCATGGTTTGGCTCGAGATGCTTAGATAAGAATATTAGACGAGTTTATATGCATCATTCTCATTATTATCCATTTGTTCTTAGATGAAGATCCAGTAAACTGAACTATATGATTAAAGGAAAAAAATTACTCAGTACGTTTGCCTGTGCCCACAACGGTAACAACTAGGGATGTATTATATTGAGTTTGCTAATATTGGTAGAGTTATTCAGTAGATTTCGGCGATTATTAAACTAAGGGTGCTAAGAAGACATGAGTGCGCGAACCATCCTTCAAGCTTATTCTATGCGTCGCTAATTTATCGATAACAAATTACAGATAGTTACCTGAGCTAACTATTGTTAGCTATTACATATTAGGCAAGCGCACTGGAAAGATAACGTATTTGACAACTACACATAAGGGAAGTCCTCGAACTTTGAATCCGAGGCTCGTCGATTTCATACTAAAAACCAACCATCTGTTGGAGTACCTAACAGATACCTGACGTAAAACTCGACATCTTCACGATAATGAGTAAAAGACCAAGATAAAATCCAGTGACCTGACTTGACGGGTAGGCATAGAGTGATACCCGAAAGCTACTGGGATCAATTACAATCGATCTTCCATTAGTAACGTTTAAAATTAGTTTCAATGTAAGATCGTTTGTTGCTAAAACTTCACACCTTCTGTCTATTTGGTGAAGTTGTGTTTGTATTGCATCATATGAGAAAGTCCTACCTACCTACCTACCTACCTACCGCGGTCTTCCATTCTTTCATTTCTTTCCATTCCAGTCTTATAATTCCAGAAGCAAACAAATCGAACTATCTGTATAATAATAGGTTATTATTGCTACTGCTACCCTATTACTAGAAATTATGCGTTGATTCAACAAATTCGTTAAATGCATGAACGTTATGAGATACCATATTGAAGTTACATTCTAGCATGTAATCTTGGTCTAAGGGATCGAAGCGGTTCCAGCTTTCTTGGGCGAATTTTCAAAAAGTTTGGCAAACATTCTAGGTTGCTGTACCATTCCAGGTGGCCGTGTGCTAGAAAGGTTTCCAAATGAACTCTGCAAACTGGCAATAATTATTCGTGACGTTATTTTTTTCGGCGGCGCGCCACGTCATTTCGCTTAGTGGGTTTATTTCCTAAATGAATGGGTCACAGTTGTGCCCATTTGTAGGTTTCTACATATGGAACTACCGAACACATGTTATGCAAAATTAGAAACATCCAGAACGTAGAGGGGTAGTGTAAAATGCATATTTCCTCGTAGCTGATACATTCGCTAAGCATTACCGTAAATACTATTTTGTTTTTCCAAATAGCATGTAAAAATAGGCCACTTTATTCAGAATTCTGGCACGAGTTAGCAGACGATCTACTCTAGCAGCGAATTTAGTCCATCCAGATATTTGATAAAATGCTTTGTGAAAACATTGTGATTATAACCTTAATCAGCTGCGAAGTGATTGCCTCCATACAGGACAACATCGTCTTTTCATTTATTTCTCTTCAGCCAGTTGGACTGGATGGCTTCTAATTAAACGATATCGTGAAAACCGATTGCCATATATGAACGAGATCTCAGCGGGAAATCTTTGCGTAGAAATCGACCTTGATAATGCTGACAGTTACGTGAAGCCGTGATCCGTTAGTTCTCATTACGGTCAAGCAGTTCTTACATGAACAAATTCACATCAATAGTTATACTGTTACATATAGTAATAGGTTCATGGTTACTTATAATGCTCTCGTGAATGAATCGTCTGCAACAGTTCCAACCGCGCCAGATCGATTCAACCAATTTCAAACTTAGGACTATTCTTTCCGTTGAGAATCCCATCAGCAATGCTACCAAGTGATGCAGCCAAGTAACTGCTCTTTTTCTATTATTGCGTTCGTCTTTGGTCGCTTACTCTAACCCGACGATGACCCTTCTGCCTGGCCAATAAATCTCGCGTCTCGAAAAAGCATCTTGCGTTTCAAAAGATTTCGAATCGAGCCAAATGGTACAAAAGGCTTGCGCCTGAATACTGCCAGGCTTTGAGATGGATTCAGTACCACCCTTTCCTTGCTTCGGCCGGTTTGGGTTGCTATTGTTGCAAGTTAACGAAATCGGCTGCGACTTTTTGAAAATATCTAGCTCTATCATCCGAACCACGCAAACCATCTGGCACAACAAGCAGATTATAGAATTCCATTAAAGCCAATGAGTAACGTTGAAAACTGCTCTGGTAAATCGGTCAAGCTTGGGAACTCCGCTATGATGACGCGGTTAAGTTCAACCGATACAGGCTGATTTCATAACACGGAGCGTTTAGGTAGACCATAACAGTCTGTCACTGACCAAATGTGTGCACTGGGATGCGGCCAACCCACTTAAGCCCCAAAAATATAAGCAAAGGCTATAAAAAAGCGCACTGTCACGTATGGCTGGGTGCTCCAAAGGCTAGGCCCCTGTAAAGATCAGGAAGCCACATTGCTTGATTTCTTTTCAACTGTTGTTGATATTGACTCCTCTCCGCACAATTGGGGTCAATAGCATATCCTCTCTAGCCAGCATACTTGCCGTCTGCAAAGAGACCGGATGACCTGTCTCAAACAGATAATTATCAATTCTTGTCACAGTATGTCCTGCCATACAGACCTGCAGGGCAGCCGCGATGGCTATTGCAGGCTAGCAACCTCTGCTTACGGCAAAGGAATAGGCTGTCTGGTACAGGACGAATAAATCGTACTCTCAAAAATTGAATCTAGCGGAAACCAAGAGCCAATAATGCCCGGTAGAATTTCCATCTTCATGTAGAGTCACTTTCTAACAACATAACTACAATACATTACAAGTTAAACGTTGGTCGCTGAGTGACATGCTCTGCCGTGCAAGATCGCGTAGTGCATAAGCTACAATTGCGAAGTATGCTGATTACAAGGAATACTATCAGATACGGTTTTTTTCGGTCGAAGTGCCATATGTCTCTCACTGTTCAGCGTCATTAGGTACCAGGATCCCAATAAAAATCAGACAACCCACTGCACTGGTAAAATTAGCCGTCAGTTGACTCTTAACAGCGGCAAATATACCGGAACCTCACGTTTGCGATTCACAGTATCAAACGTCGGATTATACCGCCACGCCGTTGAAATACAAGCTTCATGACGGTCCTGCAACTATAATCAGCTAGGCATTTTTAACATCGGCAAAATTCTGCGGTCATCACAAGTCAGTGTCAAAGCCAGCATAACTATTATCTAGTTTTTACACCCCCCACTGGTTTAGTTCTACACGTCCTTCCAACACGAAAATGTTAGCCAGTTAGGGAATCAGTGCTAGCACCGTGCACGGTACATTCCTTATATAAAATCGCAGCTCTATAGATAACAGCAGTTGATCATTTAGTTAGACGTCGCCATGACCACTATTGACGTCAGTCAGAGCGAAGGTACCGTGTGTAGTTGATTCACTCATAGACTGATCGCTAACCAGTTTGACGGCGCAATAGCGTCGCCGCTATGAAACAGGTAAAACATAACATGTTAGCGTAATAGTTGTGGAATCCGATTTATTTGTGGTCACAATTACGGAGAGATATACGCTTTGCTGTGTTATGTGGACGTTTGATACTGACGACGTTACCGTCAGACTGAAATGAGTAATTACAACTTTTGAGCCGCAGCCAGCAGTACTGTCACTATGCGACCCTGATCGCAGCAAACGTGATCATAGTAGACCTAAATAAGATGTACTACTTGAAGATTTACTCTCGAAGATATTTAAAAGTCTTCATTAAAGCCTACACAGTTTGGTGCGAGCCTTCGTTAGAGGGAGACGAGAACGGTATGGAACTAACTGATACCAACCTTCACAGATGTTCAATTTTCACATGTCGTATCCACATAGTGCTCACATAGTGAGCAAAGTCTGAGAAACGATCATAACAAGACGATCAGCCTGTCTACGCTAACAACGATGCCTACGGACGACTATTAGCTTCTCATCTAGTTTTTAAGCGTCGGTCATCGTAAAATGTTATTTGGACAATTTTTTTTTCCTAACGGAAAACTACTTTTCGTTTCGAATCTATCATTTACAATTGTGGGAAATATTCGTCTCTAACTATTATAAACAATATAGATGAGACTGTCGGTTATTAACCGTTAACCATTAGCCTGTAAGGTACCAAACGAAAATAGCAAAAGCTGCCACTAAGAACCCCTCAATTTGATTATTCATTACAGGCGACAATTTCAAATCTGGAAACGTTGACAACCCTACGTTACCGCTGCCAGTCGAGGTAAATGACAATAATATTGGCTTCATTTATGTACATCAATAAGTAGAAACGTTCCGTAGTAAGCATTGTCGCATGTTGACATTAATCTGTCAAATTCACTATTTCTACACGTTCTATAGATGAAGCGAAAAAAAATACGATAATTGCAGAAAAACAGCTTGCCGAAGCCCGTAATTATAACATCTTGGCTATTAGATCACACGCCGGTTGTTCCACAGTTAATATATGTTTGCATCAAACTGTCGAATTGCAAATCTGATCCCAAGAGCTACAAGCGTTCGGCGAACGTCTTTGTGGGATTTCTGAAAAGCTGCTCCAGGGGTTCCGAGATGACTATGTATAGGTCCTTCGAGGAAAGGTGACAGGCTTCGTACAAGCAGCTGTCTTGTTCCAGACCCAGCTACCGGCAGGAAACAGAAGAAGTTGAAATAGCAGCGCTTTAACACCGACAGGTTGTTATGCTGAGGGGCGATGGTGCAGTAAATGCTAAGCGGGACGAGTAAAGGCATCGTCGGTGTGATGATGTTATAGGCGTGCAGGATAAGGGTTATTGGTGTATGCCGAACATGCCATGTCGTTCTATAAAACGGTAATGTGTGATTAAAAGTTCGGGCTTTGTCGTATAAAGGAAACCACCTTTCAGGTTCGTTCACGTTTCGACCTGTTGCTAAATGGGATCAACAAGATCTGATGTGCGAAAAAAAGGCCCGGCCACTACCCCCAGACTGTTGCTGGGTTATCAGTTACCTCGTACTTGTTGCCAATTGCATGTAATCAAGAACTTCAACAAATTATTCCATTGATTGAAATTAACCAGTTAACGTCATCTAACTCATTAAGTCGCTCGTCCTCTTTTCTCATTTTAGTTGTCGTGTGCTTTGTACCTAAAATTAAAACCTTAATGACCTATTAATCGGTTAAAGGAAATATTCTGAACGATTTTATGCTGCAAAGAAATGACATATACGGTATGCCTGTTCGCACTGAATGTAACATCTTTCGCACCTTTCGGATTGTGACATAATCAGCCATTTTGAAAACAACGAACCGGTAGGTGGTTCGATAGATCAAACAACTTAAAACAGCCGGCGGCCTTGTCCAAGCAGGCTTCTGTGACCTCTACCGATGTCTGAATAAAATTAAGATTCTTATTACAGTTATTCAGGCAGGTCAGAGCGATACAGTTCTTTCTAAACGTTTAAATGGCTCATTGCACAGCTGATTTTGCTCTAGCCAACGATAGTTCGAAACAGATAACTTACAATAAAAGTATCTAACTATTTGCTTTTACTAGTTTCATTTATAGTACGTTAAAGCTAAAACGAGTTTTGGGCCTGATTCTTTTTGCTCAACATAGTATCAGGATAATATTTAGCTATAGTTGGCCGGACGTCAATTTCGAGCTATCTCAAAAAGCGATCATCTCACCCTTCTGTTCTTGCCTTACGTGAAAATTTCGATCCAGAATATCGCTATAGGCAAACGCAACGGAATATTGTGTGCGGCCGTTTTTATTTGCCGATGGTCCAAACGCCGCGTCTGACGACAATGATTTCAGCAAAGGCGATTCTTATGATACGGCGGCATTCGCAGGCTGTAGTCACACAAGATGACAGGAGAACAGAGCAAGTGCCAAAGGATACAGTATCTTTGCAATATTAAAAACATCTACTTACCAGACTTGTATTTTTAAACACTTGAGTGGTTAATAGCGTAGACTCCTTCAACCGAGTAGATCAATGCGTTATGGCAAAAGAATTACGGAATCGAACCGTTCCGAAAGAGTACTGTCTAATCCTGTAGACATGGGAACATAACACTGGATTCTAGATTATTTTCGATCGAATGTGAAAGTTAACAATTGGAGACAACAACACCCATGTAAATGGCAAATTAAAAAAGTAGGCATCAGGAAACTTTCAGAGAGACAAACAGATCTCGAAGAACCTAGATGAAGGCAGATCAGACCTCACCCCCACGACCTTGGCCATAGCACCGAATTGTTAACTGTATCTTACAGCAGAACTAAGTTCTTTGTACTGAGTCGCCTCTTCGCAAGACAGACTAAATGTAATGTTTGCCTGAGCACTACGTTCTAATTTTCTAATTTAAAACTAATTTACTACTCAGAATCAAGTATTCGATAAAATTTGCCGTTAAGCTTTTTATACCATTCTGCCAAATTAAGCACGGTTGTACCGCAGTGTATCTCTTTATCTGTTAGCTCGGTAAATCAGATCTGCATAAATCCGGGCCAGCGCTTAAATTTTATGAGAGGGAATACCAGAATTGATATAATGCCATCGCCGCTTATTACAGATAATACGAAGCTAATGCAGTTTTCATGTTCGAGAAGACTTTGCAAGAACTTTCTCAGGTGAGCAGGTCCTATAGGACCACAGTTCTAAACGTATTCAGATGTCATAAGTCGTGCGCTGTTAACGATACCTAGCGCACTTAATCGTAGCCACCTGGAGAAACCCCACTTTCGAGTATGTTGTGATAGCAGTCAGCGACTCCATAAAACCTAAACTTTCCAATGCCCTCTGCTGACGGGTCACCATGAACCAGCCGATATATACAAACGGTACATGCAAGTCTGCTTAAATAAGAAGTGCGATAACTAATTAAATAGCTTGTCCTCTTTCCTTTTCTTAAACAGCATATAACTGAAGGTCCCAGATCACCCTTACTGATATACGGTGTTACGTATGGATAAGGCGAGCGAGTAATCTAGACGTAAAATGAAGGCTAGACACGATTTCAGTTTTCTCTATTTTTACCTGTCGACACTAGTCGTCTATCTGTCCGTATTGCGCCCGATCGAAATGACCGATCCTAAAGAAGGTTGTTGTTTTCATAATTAAGCGTAGATTTTTAATGGCATAAAGTGCGATAGCGATTCGATAATATTTAATTACATGAAATGATAAAAAAAACATTTCGTAAACGGTCAAGTAGATCGGTAGTGGTAGGTTTAGTGTTAAAATCGATCTCTTGTATGGTAATGTTTGAATCGTGGCAAAGCAAAACCTATTTATTCTGCTACCTTCCAATGGGTTTTAATCGCCTGAAGCCAACGACTGAGATGCTCCTGTTAGACCCTTAATTTTATACTGATCTAAATATTAACTGAGCGAAAGCAATCTAACTGCAAATCACACTTTATCCACTGGTCAGTGGCGGTTACTAACAGAGGCCGTGTTTACCGACCCTGCCAAGGGCTTAGTTTAAAAATTCCAAGACATCCTCCATTACTACGGAGTTATCGTCATTCAAATGTCAGGCCAGTAACTGTTCGTAATCCTAAGGACAACAATGTATTCTCCTTAATGCCAATGTGGGCAAACATCGAGTAGGACAGTCGACAAACAGCTCTGTCGCACCGAACGCTTATCAATTGATCTCCTGTTAAGAGATTCTTTACTATACTTGTTTTTGCAAAAAATGATTGATTTTTTATTACTAGTCGGTACAACAATAGGTATAGGGATAATAGCTCATGCTGATAATTGTTTGTCCTTCTTTACAGCCACAGTCGAATTTGCCCTTGCTCGCACTTGGTATCGCCTTCTTCATCACCGGTACTTTCCTGCTAGTTTCGGTGTTGATTTTCGTACGGCGTAAACATCCTAATACACGGAGCTGTCGTGACATGATGACTTGTCAGGTCGAAGCAAATACAGGACTCCCCCTCACTCGGAGTCATTCACTTAATAAAGGCATACAGTAAGTCACCCCTCTGTTACTTTATTTTACAGGCGACCAGGAAGTAAAAAAAAACCGGTTTTATGAAGGATTTCGGGTACTTTTAAATTATTGTTTCTATATACTTACCACAATATATGGCAAACACCAAATCAGGCTTGGTTCAGTACAATACTAAACTAAACGGCCACTATCTACAAAACAGCCAACTGTTTCACGCCGGTAGGTATAACGTAACATTGCTGGCTCCGGCCGGTTCTAACGAACTGTGTATCCATGTTCGGATTCGAACCTAGACCGTTACGTATAAACTTTAGCAGGAAAAGACGTTACCCCCTAAGCTATCACGAATTCTACTTTACATTAATACCATTATTTGACAATTGTCTTCGACCATTGTAATAGAAAAAATTCAAAGCGACATAATAATTATACCCCAGCCTTGATGTGAGCTTGTGTATGACTAGCAATGCAGACGACCTGGACTTTCAAGGCTACAGGCCTAACGTCTTTATTTATACTCTGCGTATATACTACTGCAATTTTCTAGATCGTCATATGCATCCCATTTGCTGAGAGCCATCAAAAGCCGGCTAGGCCAGATCGGCTAACCTACCCACGCATAGAGATGGAAGATTGTCCTAAAGGATCAGTTTTGCGGAAAACGATATATACAGTGCCGTGGATGCTATGTTCCATCTACTAGGGGGCATTTCTCGCATCACAAATCGATCCGATAGGTCTTCTTTGACAAAACCTCTGAACGGATCGGGATTCTATACAATATCGCCTACTGCTGCTGCAAGAAAAAATAATTATCGCTGACAGTGTCAACTAATATTTGATGCAGCAAGATTCACGTGAAGCGATATTTATGTCAGGCATCGTAACGATTCAATGTGCTGCATATAAAATTGACAGAAAACACACACGGGTCATTAAGTGGAAACTCTTGTGTCGATTTCTTAGCAGAAGGACGCTAGTAGTGAGGAGCTTAGGTCCTGAGAAACGGACATTTTGCTGAACTATATAATTCCGCTTATTACTTCAAAGTCAGAACAGCTGCACATAATTGTTAAAAAAAAGAAAAAAAAAAATATATATATATATATATATATGTAAAAAAATAAAAAATAATATTTCGAAAGGGCCCACTGCATTTCTCCCTGAAGTTTTTCAGTATCCTACTTCCGATTGCAAAGCTTGCGCCATCTTCCTTTCGTATTACTTCTAGCGGCTTGGTCTGTTTCCGAACCCGCTTCTTACAGACACCAATCGATAAAATCCAAGGAGAAAAGCTTCAATCCCTTAAAGCGGCACGGGGAAAAAGGAGTCAATCTACTACAAAGTTTTACTTCGGGTTGCTATTACCACCTCAAAGGCTAGCATTTATATTAAATTCTATTTCACGGCTTGGCATAACACAAAGATCGGCTAGATGCGTATCAATTGAGTATTGGAAACGAAACGTATTAATTAGCCAGTAAGCGAATGCAGGGAGAAAATGGCAGAGAACTGTGACATAGAAAATATTGAAAAGGTGACAGTTTTGTTCAGGTCCACAAACCAATCACAGAAAATCATTAGATAGGTTGTACATTTCAAACGTCTCATGAATACATAGCCAGTGCAAAGTTCTACTTGAAGCGTTTGTGTGAATCGAGATACACATCCTGGCGTACACGTCTATTAAGGCAACCCTTGGAAGTGTAAATGACACGGGGTAGAAAATATATAATATATATGTATCATTGCCAGGGCACGGGTTGGGAAACGATTCTAGTGGGCTCGCAAGCCTGCATTTGGGCAGACATGCTCTGAGTGTATGACAATTTCATCTGAAATATTGACACAGCGATAAGAAGGCTCCATCTTGATGACCTCCTTGCTGTTGTCCATGCTGGGTAGAACAGTGAATTACTCGTTCGGAATAAATATTTCCCTCACATTTAAGTGCCCATTAATTGATAAGTTTGCATTGCCCTTCTGTTTCATCTTACCTTTACTTGTTGAGTACTATTCGTCGGTAGTTAAAATTTACAGTTTAAGAATATCAGCGTTTGTCTTTCCATTCATGATCACCGCGTTCTATAGGCACCCAATTTTATCTGGGTAATACTATTGCTTTTGATATATCACGTGAAGAGCAGCTAACACAGGGACTTCTCGTAAAAAGCTAACAAATCAAATCTCGGCAGATTCCTGACACAGAAATTAAACTGTCCTCACCTGCTCAGGTCTGCAACAATACGTGTATCATAAGAAGACTTATTTACCCGTCGAAGTCTTACTTGTAATAAATGTTCTCCGGCTAACGTACCCCCGATTTCGTTCTATCTCTGTCTGCCCAAATTGATGCTTAATTTCCGAATCATAAAATGACGTAGCATTCAGGCCTGCTGATCTCATAGACTGACGCTTGACCATTTCAACTGAATATCTGTTAAGGATTACATAAAGGCGCTCTTTGCACTGCATCGAAATTAAAAGCAATTGCACACTGCTTTAATATAGCTTGCGTAAAACACATTCAGGGTCTTCACAGGGATATATTGAATTATATAAGTAACCTGCTTTTTGGGGATGCATCTCAACATATCTTGACTCTGACAAGCTGATATAATCACGGGTTGAACGAGAATCTGATTCGCTTGGATCGACATAACAAAGCGTCTTGGAAGTTGTGGTACTGCGTTGCTTTACGGTTGCGTAAGTTGAAGATAACTTGTGCGGCAGAAATATTTTTCACGCTCTATTCGGCAAAATAAAATAGGTACTGTTCTTCTACAACACGACCCAGGCTTTTTCATGGTGTATCATGAGACATTATATATCGAGCTTTTACCTAACCCGTGTTGTGGGTTATTCGCTATCAAGCTTGAAAATATGTCAATAAATCAGGCGGAAACAGAGTTAACATGAGGCCCCCCACTGTTCGGAAGTTTCGCTAATAGACGTACTTGTGCATACGGGGCGTCGCGCGTGAGTTTTTTGTCATACAAAAAGTGCTCATTTAAAACCAGGATGTATCAAACATGAAATTCTTATAGCATATTTTATATATTCTGTACATTTCTGGGCATATTACATAAATGTAGAATTATGAAGGAAACATTTAATTTACAGCACTCGATGTCGAATCCACAGAAAAACGTTTAACTCAAGAATATTAATTCCAGTGTTATTCCACCGGCCCACTCCCAACAGACTCTCATAATCCTAAGTTTAGGCTTTTTATGCTACTTATGATAAGTACTTTTTCGTTGGAGGATCTTTTCGACGAAATTTCATTGGCTGCGTTTTACCATGGATTAGAATGAATGAAGCAATAAAATAAGATGTATTCTTGGATATCAAACTATTAAGCACAATTTATTGAGACATGATCGCACAGACTCGCCAAAAAGCTTTATGTTTAAAAAAAAATCAAGACAGAACCGGAAAAGTTACCCTTAGTAGATGAAAAATAGTTTTGACCGGAATTTACGGTGCTCTTGAGAGAAAGCACGAGATCATGCAATTTGTCTCATGTGGGCGAAGTACATGATACACTGGGAGAAAATCAGCCTTTAAGCAGATGCTAAAAAAAAGGTCAGGCTGTAAAACAACAGCAGCAGCTTACTTTTAGTTGTATTGATAGCCGATTTGATATGTAGTACTTTCAGCACTCGAAATGAATAATTTTTCGTCGGTATTGTCTCATATCACGCTCCTACCATGTTGGTCTTATTCTTGAATTATCAATATTGACCCCTCAATTAACGGCCCATATCGGCAAAATAAAACTCTACACATAGTTCCTCTATGACGACTTATATACATATTTATTTTTTTGTTTGTAAACGGTTTTTTATGATTAACAAGTTACGAGTCACCAATGTGTGATCACTCCATGTCGAGGCTTCCTCTTGCTTGTTGAATCTGTCGTGCCTCAGGCTGGTGTCGTCGAATTGATTAGTCCTTATTCACTGTTAGTTCAAACTATTGACAAGGTAAGAGCACTCGATATACCGGCTATTGACATGACCGTCTATATAGATAGTGCTTTTTGCCTTATAAAGGAACCATACTACATTAAATGAGTCGTCCTCGCGTTCGTTTTTTCGCGCGCCAGGACATGCAGGTGGCAAAATCTTCACTATTAAATATCGTTGCATTGGTACGTCACGGTTTGTTGATAAGTTTTTTTAATCAAGTTTCATACTATATTGTTATGATAAAAACAGGTTTGAAGGTATGTTTATCCTTTATGCATGACCAATGTTTAATCGACATCTACACATAGTTATTTTCGTCCTTAGTCAACCATTTTGTCGTTTCGCTTTCTATTATATATGAGTAAGATTTTCTAAATCTGGGTCAAGCGTCTTCTGTTGGATTCGTAAGCTGTTATAAAAAAACCTGTTCTGAATAGTACGTAGTACAATGAAGGGCTAGCTACGACTTAATTTAAGCAAAGATAGTTCTCTACTATAGTTTTACACGTGAAACGAGCGAAAATATGTTCTAAGGTATAGAAATATGCGCCCTCTTAGAACATGCATCAATTTTATTAATATTATTATTACATTTCTGCGCGTGCTTTTCGAATAAATATTGTCCTTTTTTTACGAATAAAAAAACTCAATTAGTTCATTAGGTAAGTAATCTGTATAAGTGGGCTATATAGCTTGCTTAAATTAGGTAAACTTAGATCGTGATTCTTTCGAGTTTCATCAATGGACGCCGGTTCGAACTATTACGCAATGACGTGTAATGGCACTGTCGGGAACAGATCAGGGCCCCCTTTATGCAAACTCAGGCAACAAATAGATTTGGGTACGATTGGAAATTTTTTGCCTTTGTGAAATTACAATTAAGCTTTAAGCGGGGCAAATGTCTTTGTTGGTTTTAATGTATTGAGGATGCTGCATATCATTTTAGTATGCTAGGCAAAAGGGGCGTTAGCTCTTATAGTGCACTACGAGCTCCAATCAACTTTTAATTTCGCTAGGATAGCATAGTATAGGTAAACGTTACTT